CACCTCCTAGCATCACTTTTAATCTTCTGGAACCCGCCCACCACTGCTCAAGTCAGAATTGAAGCACAGCCAACCAAAGTTTCCGAGGGGAAGGATGTTCTTCTACTTGTCCACAATTTGCCCCAGAATCTTACTGGCTACATCTGGTACAAAGGGCAAAAAACGGACCTCCACCTTTATGTTACATCATATGTAAAAGACACTGAAACAGTTATAGCTGGGCCTGCATACAGTGGACGAGAAACAATATATTCCAATGCATCCCTGCTGATCCAGAATGTCACCCAGAAGGACACAGGATCCTACACCATAGAAATCACAAAGCGAGGTGATAGGACTGAAGGAGAAACTGGACATTTCACCTTATATCGTGAGTGATTCCACATGATCCCTGGGTGTTGGGGGGGGGGTCACTTCTACTTTGCACACACAGGATGGTCAGGCCTGGACTGTGCCTTTGTCCCTCTCTGCATTATGTCCCATGTTTGGGTTTTGGCATTTAGTGCAGGACACACACAGAGGAGACAAACTACAACAGATCAGAATTCCTTTCCTGCCTCCAGACCCTGTAGACACTTGCTGCACAGGAAGGACAGTCTGATGGCGGGGGGGGTTCAGCAGGAGGAGATCAGTCTCAGCCAAGCACCTCATGCCCTCTTCATAAACCTTACCCTGAGAAACACCCTGGAGAACTGAGCAGGGCTTTGCCTAAGGGGCAAAGATACTCTCAAAGAAGCTCAGCTCTAGAAGCTTCAACCCCAGACCCCTGTCCCTTAATCCTTACTCCAGAAAAAGCTGAGGAGCCTGTGCCAGGGCTCAGTTGTGGCAGGGCTTACTGGGACCAAGGATTTACCAGCTGTCTGAGGACTGTGTCTCCTGGAGCTGCTCACTGCCAGGGCTCAGCTCTCAGAGCCTCATCTAGGCAAGGACAGAGCTTTCTTCACCTGAGACTCAGAGTGAAGAGGACAGAAAGACAAGCTTTGTAGGCCATCAGCCAACTGCCTTGTGAGGCTTAGGACACTCCATAGAAACTCTAATGTCCCCAGAAGCAGAAACAGAAGAGAGAAAATGTACCTGGCAGCAGCTTGTCCACAGGAATCTGACCTAAAGGTGCTCTCTCATGGAAGTGAATAACAATAAATGCTGTTTGTGTGGACACCTCCACTGTGCCAAGTATTAGGTCACGTGACTGAATAATTCACAATTTATTCACAGATAGCATGAAAAGCCACAGTCCATTTGCCATTTAGCTTATTTGACTGAGAGAAAACTGAGGCACAGGAAGGCACAGTCACTGAACCAGAGTCACACAAACACAAAAGGCAGATCAGGGTCACATGAGGTCTGTCTGCAGCCACAGGCCCATCCTCTCCTCCACCAGAAGTGAGGGCTTATTGTGTTCCAAGGACCCCATAGTCAATTATTGTCTCAAATCGTCTCTTCTTAGGCATCCAAACCTCAGAGGAGTGAGAGCAAATGGTCAGCTGATTAGTCTGTACTCCAGAATTAAATCGCCTGCCTCAACTGTCAGAGTCAGTGCAAAAAATGTCCAGGCCTCCCCCTCAGATCTTAACCCCTATCACTGAACCTGAAATCCTGTGTTTCACAAAGTGTCCATGTCACTGGCATGACAGGATAAAGGAGAGAATCTTTTTTTCTTTCCCCACTCACACCCCGCACCAGCACAGGCCCAGTGAGAGACACACACTCAGGAGCTCTCGCATAACAAATGAAGGAATTGAATGAAGAAATGAATGGTCCATAGCTGCTTTACAGAGTGGACCTCAGATGCAGCATCCTAGGAGGTCTAGTCACACCTGTTTCTTGTCCTTCAGAGGCTGACACTCATGTTTCATCCCCCCACTACCTCTTGCCCCTAAAGACACCCCATCTCATGTAACTCTGAAGCTCTTTGGGCATGGGAGGGTTTTCAGGGCTCCCTGGTCCTGGACTGTGGAACTGGGGTCACCTGGTCCCTGGGGCCTCTGAAGTCACTGTAGCCCCCATTGTTCACTGCCAGGCTGTCTCTGCCTCTCTCTGCTTCTCTGTGTTCCTCATCTTCCTCCCACTTCATTCTAACTGGCAAGCCCTGTCCTGCACAGCTTCTTCCTCCACTCCTAGGCCTTCCCCAAACATTCCCTCTAACTAGGCTGACTGTTCTATTATTACTCAAATCAGCCTCCCTAGTGGATCAGGGGTTAGAGATTTTCAAGGATAGTTTCAGGGGCACAGGACTAAAAAATGGGTACTGCTGATTGTTTGGGGGATGGAATCATGGGGGTGGAGGGAAAAGATCTGTTTGTGCTTGAATTCACCTCTAGGTGGGGACCACGGGACTGGCTGAACCATTAGTCATGGGTATGAATGAGGTCAGCCGGTTGCCAGAATGCAAAGAATGAGAAAAATCTCAAAAGACCAATCTCAGGTTCTACAATAGTGATGTTATCTATAGGAGCAATTAGTTACAAGTTTTGTAAACTCTGACCAAATGACATTTGAGAAGTAAGGGATTATAGAAACTGTGCCTACATTTTAGCAGAATTCAGTTTCCTCCTGTAATCTTACTCTCATGGTCTTTCACCAGTTTTACAAAGGCAATCCCTGGGCAAAAGAAGGGTATTAGTGTTATGGAGGAACTATTATCATTCTTGCTTCAAAGTTAAACCATAAACTACATTCCACCCATGATTAGCCTGGCCTATGTCCAGGAATGAGTGAGAACAGCCAGCCTGAGACTCCAGATGGAGTCAGCCATGCTAGTTTGCTATCACTGTTGTAATCTTTGCACTGACTCACCAGGATGTCAGAGGCTGGACAGGTCTGCAGTCTCCAAAGCCCATGGACTGATTTCACCCATTTCACTCGCGACTCCATCCTCAACCTACTGTGGAGCTCACATTCTCCAGTCACTTCCTAGAGACTTCTGGTTTCCTGTCAGGCATATAACAAACTTGAAATTTGTCACTCGGTTCTAACAGTAAGTAAAAAGCTGAACAAACTCAAAAGTCAACAACTCATTAAAATCCCTCAGAGATGGCCAGTCACAGTGGCTCACGCCTGTAATCCCTGCACTTTGGAAGGCTGAGGTGGGGGGATCACGAGGTCAGGAGATTGAGACCATCCTGGCTAACATGGTGAAACCCCGTCTCTACTAAAAATACAAACAAATTAGCCAGGCGTGGTGACGGGCACCTGTAGTCCCAGCTACTCAGGAGACTGAGGAAGGAGAATGGCGTGAACCCAGGAGGCAGAGCTTGCTTGAGCCACGATCGTGCCACTGCACTCCAGCCTGGGCAACAGAACAAGACTCCGTCTCAGATAAAAAAAAAGAAAAAAAGGGGCTGTTAGAGAAATGTAGAATGCTTTAGATGATTACCGGTGGATTGCACACAGCTGAGGAAAAAATCTTTTAGCTTCAGGATGTGTCAATAGAAACTTCCAAAAATGAAACAGGAAAGTTCAAAAAGAGTGTGGGAAAAAAAAGTTGAACAACAAATTCAACTTCATATTTAACATTCTTTATTGACAATAGCAATTTTTCAATTTTGTAGTTGCGGGACAACTACCAAGGCTGTAACATACACATAATGGGAATACTGGTAGTTTCGGGGACCTGTTGAAGTTGGCCAGGTGTGTGCTATCTGATGATTTTACTGCCTGTGCCACATACGATTGTTTCCTCATGATGATGCCATTTTCACAAGTTGGGATTCTGCGTGTGGGCGACACATGAGCCGTTGGCATCTCACTTAGACTCTTCCTAATTCACACAAACTTAACCTCCAGTTGTATTTCCTGAGTTAAGAGAAAATGAAGAAAGCATTTCACATACCTGTTTTGGGCTCCTCCCCATTTTTCCTAACTCTGCACAGAAATTAGAAACAGGGAGCTCTTTTTATATTTACTAACATAACACACATCCCTTCTTTTAATTCGGCATCATTCCTCCCTTTATGTAATAGACACACTGGCCAGTTCTGTCCTTTCAACGGGACTCTCTCTACTTAAGGACTTGCTAATTTCAAATCACCTTTGGCATCTTTTTTGAGCATAATGTGATCCTGCTGGAATTCACCCCACACCTAAACCTTAATTGGGTATCAAGAGAAATACTACTACCAGCAATTGATCTTAGATGTTTGGACCATCCGTAAAAATTTCCACTTATGACAACATTTTAATGTTTCCTCCAAACTTTTTAATGTTTTGTTACTAGAGTCAAAACATAACATGAGGTCTAAACTCCTGACATTTTATGGGAAAATTACAGTATCACAAATTGAGCATCCCAAATGCAGAAATCCAAAATCTGAAATGCTCCAAAATCCAACACTTCTGACCACTGATGTGGTGCGAAAAAGAAGTGCTCACTGGAGCATTTTGGATTTTAAATTTTTCAGATTTGGGATGCTAAACCATTACATCTACTGCAAATATTCCAAAATAAAAAGAAAGTTAGAAATCCAAAACACTTGGTTTTAAGCTTTCTGCATAAGGAACACTTTATCTGCATGAACTATAGGCATGAAGCTGTACAGGAGATCTCTAGAACCTCCTCATCCTGCATAACTGAAACCGCACACCCACAGAACAATGCCCTATTCCCCCGACCCCAGCTCCTGGAAACTACTATTCTACTCTCTTACTCACTCTGGAATCCACTGCTATTTGGTACATCGAGTAGTCAAACTCATATAATCAGAGAGTAGAATGTCTAATGAGAGAAAGTACCTGCAAGACTTCTTCCCAAATATTGGTCTAATAGTCACCAAACACAAATGGTCCATGAGGGCCAGACTTCCATCATCAGTTCATGTTCGCCCTCTCCATCAGTCAGTTCTGCATTTGCAAACATCCACATGTATTTCTAGAAAGATCCACATGGTCCTCACCTGCCCTCTACAGGGGGAAGGGAACATCATGGACCCAGAACAGGGAACATGGTCTTGGTCCAAAGTTATCAGCTCTTGCCTGTCCCCTTCACTCTTTGTAGGTCATTCCTTGGACTCTGCTCTATCTTTAGAGGTCACTGGCTAAAGTCAGTCACTATGAGACAGCTGGGAAAACTGCCCCACCTTGTGGCTCCACTACCTGATGACTGAACTGACCTCCAAGCTTGACTCTGGTCTCCCCAGTGTTATTTCTACTGAAGTACGCAGTCCCAGGCCAGGCTTCACAGTACTCAAAGGGCTTAAGGACAATGGGAAGTTCCATCATCTATATCTAGGATGTCCTTGGAAAGGGAAGCTGCAGAGAAAACATACCTTGGGGGGCAAAGTAAGACTGAAACTAAGACGATTCCAGCACCACATGCTCCAGGTGAGGACCACAGGGTGGCCAGGCAGGCAGTTGGAGAGGGAGGGACTCAGAGTCACCAGGGGCTGTGACTGCTGGTCCTGTGTCTTGCCATGACCCAATGCTGCTGCTCAATACACACTTGAGAAAGTCTGCGCTTCTCACACATAAAGCAGGTAGCCTCACAATCTCTGAGCCCTCAGATTGCCATGCATCTGTCTTGTAACACACACACACCTGCCATGGGCTTTTAAGGAGTGGGGTGCGCTGAGAGGTGGGAAATGCCATCTCCGATTTAAAAATGTCTTTGGAGGAATCAAAGGTGCCATACAGGGCAATCTTCTCTCTGTTATCTGCATAGTGGAGACTCCCAAGCCCTACATCTCCAGCAGCAACTTAAGCCCCAGGGAGGCCGTGGAGACTGTCATCTTATCCTGTGATCCTCACACTCGGGACGTAAGCTACCTGTGGTGGATAAACGGTCAGAGCCTCCCTATCAGTCACAAGTTGCACCTGTCCAAAAACAACAGGACCCTCATTATATTTGGTGTTACAAACGATACTGCAGGACCCTATGAATGTGAAATGAAGAACCCAGTGAGTTCCAGCCGCAGTGACCCAGTCACCCTGAATCTCCTCCGTGAGTATTTTCTGTTCCTCTGTGTGTCAGGCTGCCATCCCAAATACACATGGCCAGAGGCCAGGCCTCTCAGTCCCTCTCAGGTGCAAGTACAGAAACCTTTACCCCTGGACATCAAAGCTGGCCATGACTACTAAGAGTAGGCTTAGGCTTGATCAACAATGGGAGAGAAGAGGCTGCTCCTGTCATGGGAGAATCAGGGTCCACAGCTTATGATGGGAGAAACAGGGGAATGTCTCAGGCTCCAGATCAGTGAACACAGCAGGGATTTGGCTGGGACTTCAGTGTTGTGACTTAGCTCATAGGGTCACTGTGGCCCTTCCATAGACCAGGATTTACCCTTCCCTCTGACAACATCAGCTGTGCCTTTATTCTCTTTGCTCCAGATGGCCTGGATGCCCCCACCTTTTCTTATTCATACACCTATTACCATACAGGGGAAGTCCCCAATCTCTCCTGTTTCACAGACTCTCTGGCAGAGCATTCTTGGCTAATTGATGGGAAGTTCCAGCAATCAGCACAAGTGTTCTTTATCCCCCAAATCACTAAAACATATACAGGGGTCTATGTCTGTTTCATCCATAACTCAGTCACTGGTGGAACAAATCTCATAATCAAGAGAATCATAGTCCCTGGTAAGTGGATCCCTGGAGCACTGGCAATATGTTTTCCAGTGAAGTCTATCTGGCTATTCTGGCTGTCAGAAAAGAGCCATCTTCCCTCTGCAAAGGGAGAGGGAAAATCAAAAACCCAGGACAGGGAATATGTTTCTGCTCCAAAACCACCGGCTCTTCCTGTTGCTTTGCTCTTTCTAGATCATTCTTTAGACTACATACTAACAATGAACAATGTGAAAGGAAATTAAGAAAAGAATTTCAATTTATGTTAACATCAAAAGGAATAAAATATTTTGGAATAAGTTTAACCCAAAAGTCAAAGGGTTATACCCTGAAAACTCCAAAACATTACTGAAAGAAAGATGACATCAATATATGGAAATACATTTCATTTTCATGGATTGGAAGAATCAATACTGTTAGGAAGACAATACTACCCAAAGTGATCTGCACATTCAATGCAACCCCTACCAGAATCCCAGTAACATTTTTTGCAGAATTGCAAAAATCTGTCCTAAATCTCACCTGACAGACTCTTACTAATGACTGCCATGACAGAGACACTGAGAAAAAGATGCAACCATGAAAAGGTGGAAAGATTTGATGACGTAGAAAATAGCAATCAGCCTTTCTCACATCCCAAAGCCTTCAAAAATATACTAGTGCAGCATGGCCAGTATGGAATTGACCAAAAACTAATCACCAAGCTAGAAATGTGGTGTGAAAAAAAAAGGGCAAGAATATATTTGGCTTATCAC